GTAAAATTGGCGAAGACTAATTGAAACGCAAAAAGCTTCTGATTTTATCTCCTGGATTTCATTCGAAACTAGGAAAGCTTCATATAAATCGAGAAATGGATGTCCGGCGAGGCGCCCGTAGCACACAATGGGGCTGAGGTTTAACGTACGGAAATTTCCAGATTGCTCCGTGTCTTTCTCACTCTCCGTAAACCCACAATTTGACCTTGATTCACCAAGTTCATAAGACGATTGGCCGCAGTGATGTAGTCTCGAGCGTTATCTTGTTTTGGGCCGGATGAATATAGGTGATAGGTCCATGGGTATTCCATGAGGGAGAATTCGACTTTTTATTTTGAATTTTGCTATAGGTACTCCATCTATACCCCATATAAAACCATCCCCTCTCTTTTACCTCACTCCCTACCCATCTTCCATTTTTATCCTAATTCTTATCTGCTCTCCTTTCTAGATTTGTGAGGTTTATTATTAAAATTTTAATTCAACTATTATATTTCACTTTTATGCTCATAAGGTGCTTGTTGAAATGATTGGATGAAATTTTATTCATATCCATGTGTTTATTGTTCATTTTTCTATTTCAAAAATTTGTTTGACTCTTTCATTTTATTAAAATGAATTTTCTGTTTATTATTGAGATATATACACAATACTCCATATTAGTCTTTCATTTTAGAGATATACTTTAAGTAAGAGACTCAAGTTGAACTTAAGAAAAGCTAACCCTTTGATGATTGCTCTCTCTAATTACATTGCTCAAAGTCATATTTTATTTGGACTTAATCTATTCAAGAGAGTTTTGAATGTGTCATTTTTTACAATCTTCTTTCACATAATACTAGTTCTATTACCCAATTTATATCAATGTTATATGTTGGTGTTACATATGGAGCCATGTAAAATAACTCGAGAAGTAGAGGTTGTATGAAGATGCTTATTGTCCATCTATATGCTTACTATTGAAAGTTCGTTTCTTGAAGTTGGAAATTTGACAAAGAGTTGTCTTGTTTTGTTTGTCATGATGGAAATTGCATTTCTTTTCTTTGTGAAAGCCTTTGTTTGTGTGTAAGATTTTGAGAAGCTCAGTTTGAAGTTGAGAATATGTCATTTAAATTGAATTTTTCTCTAAATTTGTTTATTATGATAGAAATTGTTGTATGATAAGTTAGAATTTGTTCCTCAATTTTATGATATTTTATTACAATACGACGCTTATTGTTTGCTTAAATGAGAAGTTTGATTTTAGTTTGTGTTAAAAAATGACTACACAGGTGAATACTTTATTTGAAGAATTTGTGGATATATAGAGATTTTGTTCCACTATTGAAATAAAGTTGCAAGTTGAAGGGTTTAATCTAGGCATTGGAAAGTCAAATAAATGACATAATTTGTGAGTGGACTCAATTTTGGCATGGGCTGAAGGTTTCAAAAATGTCAAGTCCTCTTTGTGAAGTGAAGCACCAACAATTTAAAAAAAAAGAGTCCAACGAGAGAGGAGTTTGTCCTAAGCGGCTTCAGGAGAATGAGGGGCACATTGGTTAAGGCAGCCTTTTTCCTTTTATTGCTATATGTAATGAAACTTTTAGCTTGTTTTTTAGCTTGTTTTTTCATATATTGGTCATGAATATTGGATATGGCAACTTTGTTTGCCTTTTTTTGGTTTATTGTATCTTAGGAGGATAAGTCCTCATTTTTGTTTATTAGTCCCATATCTTTAATTGTTAGTTGGTATTTATATCATATCAGGTGGCAATGAAGTCAGAAACATATTCACTCTTTCATATTATTTTTATCTCACTCTCTTAAAGATAACATACCTCATCCAACAGGTGGCAATGAAGACATGAAAAATAGTTGTGTATGTCATGAAGGAATAGGTCATTGCATTAAATGGATTTGTTTTTTAAATAGAGGCGAATTGTTTGGCCATGGTCATTGCATTAAATGGATTTGTTTTTGAAATAGAGGCGAATTGTTTGGCCATAGACAACAATCACTGGAACGGGTTAATATGCTAAGTAGAATTATGTGTGAACAAGATATTACGTCTAGCCACAGACAATAGTCACTGAAATGAGCTAATATGTTAAGTAGAATTTTATCCAACAGACAATATTTGTTTGTCCCAAACATTTCGTGTTTGGGCCTGACAAAAGAGTTCTATTTAACAGACAATATTTGTCTGTCTCAAGCATTTCTAATTTGGACCTAACAAAAGAGTTCTGTTTAACAGACAATATTTGTCTGTACAAGACATTTCATATTTGGGTCTGGCAAAAGAGTTCTGTTTAACAGACAATATTTGTATGTGCCAGACAATTCGTATTTGGGCCTTACAACATTTGTCTGTCCCAAACGATTCATGTGTGGGTATGGCAAAAACTTTATGTCTAACAAACATTATTTGTCTGTGCCAAACATTTTGTATCTAAGCCTGGTAAAAAGAATACTGCCTGACAAACAATATTTGTCTGTCTTAGACAATATCTGACCTAACAAAAGAGTTATGACTAACAGACAATATTTGTCAGTGCCAAATGATTCTTATTTGACTTTTTATATTAATGGCACAGACAATTCACTTTAAAATATTTGTATAATTGTATGTAACCTTTAAGAGATTAAGGATAAAAATAATATGAAATGATAAATAATTAGTTAAAGATTTTGTATAAGTGAATATTGTTTGTGCCTAGACGATACTTGTGCTTTCTGAATACAGACAACAATTGTCTAAGTCGACAAAGATTTTTCATATTCATTTTCATAACATATACTACGTACATCTTTGAAAATAAAGGCAAATCTAAATACTCTTGCATTCTCATTACAAGAACTTTACAAAGTAATCAGTTACAAGAATTAAATATTTGAACCCCTCAGTCTTGCATTACAAGAGTTCAAACATCCATAAACAATGTAATAAAATGCTCAATCTACAATTCATCATCACAAAATGTCTCGGCCCTAAATGTAACTATTTGAGTTAGCTCATAGGAGTACTTTCTATCATCGGGATGTAATGAATCTTCAACAAACACAGCTTTATACTCATTGACAAGCTACTGGTAAAAGCCCATAAGAGCAGTTACACGTTTCTTTAGCGACCCCTCAACGTTTCTGTACACAAAAAAGTTTAATGAAAAACTTATGTGATCAAGTAACAACAAATATATATTAAATAGCGCAATAACATAATTTTGTGTGTATAGGCTGGACATAATCCACACATTATATTCCACTAAATGAAAGCTCACAAGAAAAATCTAAAGACACAGAACCAAGAAATGCATTGGGACGGTTCAAACTTGGCAACAGGTTATATTAAACATTCATTCATTCATTTCATATATAGCATAATGATAGCAACAAAGCCAATGAAGTCAAAAACCATTTATACCAAATGATGAATCATTTCATCACACATCTTATGAGCATAAAAGTGAAATCGAATCGTTAAATAAAAATTTAAATGATAAACATCACAAATCTATCACAATAGCACAAAATAATCAGCCATTCAATATTACATTATAAAACAAAAATCAAAAGCCATCAAACATAAGATGACATAAACAAAAAATTCATTGAATCATTTAAACAAACATGTTATGAGCATATTAATGACATAAAATAATTGGACTAAATTTATAGAGTATTTTGAAATAAAAAATAAATAACAAAAATGAAGAAAAAGAAAGGAATGAAGAAAGAGGGAAACGGTGTACAATCAATTTGTAAATGAAGAAGCTTGCAAAAAATGATGAAAAGGGAAAGAGACTTGCAAAATTAATGTGTATTGTGCGAATCGATTTCATAATATATCGATTGAAGAGGCTGGCAAACAATGAAGAAAAGGGAAAGAAGGGAGAAAGAGTTGAGGCGTATTGTAGATCTGTAGCCGATGGAAGACCTCCGTTGGTGAATGACCTCTGTTCGTGGATGACCTCGTCTCTGTAGCTGATGCGTTAGAAAAGAAAAAAAATGGACGGAAGAGAAAGAGGCTAAAGGCAGAGGAGAGAAGCTGGAGAAGTGGTTGGGGGTAAAAAAAAATGGTAAAAAGTGATGGTTTTATATGGGGTACAATTTGGAGTATAATTGAGGTACATGTAGCAAAATTGTTTCATTTTTGGTGTTATTGAATTCACGTCTCATTTTAAAAACTTTGACTTTGTACAAAATCCTTTAACTTGCATTCCATTAAACCCAATTAACTAGACTTTGTACAAAATCCTATAACTAGACTTTGAAAATAGCCCAATTATCCCGTGTATGTTAGAAAGACAAGAGTGCAACGTGACATCTTTTGATCATATTAGTACACTTCAGTAAGATCAAAGGAAAGTTGCACTTATAATTTTAGACACCACTCATCTCACCAAAATGTACTAATATTGATATGACCAAAAGAGGTCACCTTGCCCTCTTGTCTTTCTAACATACTAATATGACCGAAAGAGGTCATCTTACCCTCGTCTTTCTAACATACTAATATGATCAAAAGAGGTCATCTTGCCCTCTTGTCTTTCAAACATACTAATATGACCAAAAGAGGTCACCTTGCCCTCTTGTCTTTCTAACATACTAATATGACCAAAAGAGACCACCTTGCACTCGTATATCCATTATCAAGCGTTCAAGGCTATTTATGGTGACATTTCATTTCTGTTGGTTTAACTAACTTGTGTAACTCACTTATCTATAATTAATTACAAACATTTCAACTCTCTACTACACCCATACATTTTACTTTCCACCATATTTTTATTTATTAAATAATATACTCAACCACTCAAATAAATCACATTATGTAAATATTTAAGAAACATATACTTCAAAGTTCGTGTTTTTGTGTGTGTGTGTGTGTGTGTGTGTGTGTGTGTGTGTGTATATGATCCAAACCCTATATATAAGTTTTTCAAATATATATCCCTTATGATTACCTACTTGTGAATTTGTAAAGCTCAAAGAGGTGTTAGCAAAAAAGAAAGCCATTTGGAAACTACACAAGAAAGTACTAAAGGCCTTCCTTTAGTAGATACTGACGCGATATATCATGGGAATTATTCCACCAATACGCGTTCTTATCAAAATTCGATATGCACAATTTCAATATAATCTCAAATTCTCAATAATCGGGTGCTCTCAAGATAAACAAAATAAAAACAGAAATGGTGTAGTCACTTTGGAATTTGGATATAGAATATTGCCATGCCTCGGTCGGAGCACTGTAAAGAGCCACAAACAAGGATTCTCTCTAATCATAAATGTGCTCATAGAAAACATCCAGATATACATACGCCGTAGGAGTCAATCAGAGTAGTAAGACCACAATAAACCTGTTACTCTCTAGCTTTCAGTCGGCTAATCATACATTAACTTTTGCAACCTTTCTATTTACCACTTGGCCTGTCAGGGGGCACTGCATCTCTGTCCAACTTATTGGAACCATGGTAGCACCTATCCAATAACCAATACAAATATAACATCAATTTAATCAAATACAAATTTATTAATAAAAAACTAACAGCATTAGTGTTCATCAAAATGAAACCACACAATAAATCATAGGGATATTATATGATTACGAGGACCAGACACTACCACTGCATGTTATACTATAATGCTCACCAATGCATAAGGTACAACAGTTTAGCATTAGTACAACCGGACAACAGGGCAGCCCAAAGCACATTGGGTCCCCGCAAGGGTGTATAAGGAGATTAGTCCAACGGGACTACAATTCAAAAAACAAATATACCTCTCAACTATCTTTTGAAAAATTAAACATAATTTAAAAAAAAAACTGAACAATGAACTCTTGAACTGTATGTCTGTATACTACGGAGTACGTATTAAAGTGGTTGTACACACCCTTTAATTTTCCAATAGGTGAGACTTGAGTGTATATATGTTCTCTAATGTATATTTAATGTTTCTAATGTCCTTTTTAGAGTCTCAATCCATTTCATTTTCGGTCTATATTGGCCTTCAACAAAAACGACGATTAAGGTTGGGGAGGGGGTTACCTGCTGCACTTTCTGCGGATACAACACCCAGCTCATTCTTCGCAGTTGATAGATAATATGCTCGTGCATCTCCAAGTGAAAGCTTATTAGTTAATCAAATCAGTTATATTAAGACCATCTGATAGAACTCCAAACATTTGTGTACTCATAGCTAGTGGTGGACCGGTGCCGGGCCCGGTTCGGGCTAGGGCTGGACTCGGGCCGGTTTGGGCCTGTGCCCGGCCGGGCCTCGGGCCAGAAAACTGGGGCCCGAGCCCGAACCGCCGGTGGCCGGTTCCGGTTCCGGTTCCGGGCCAAACCGGGCCGGGCCGGGCCAAACCGGTCCATTTTTTTTGGTTCTCCTATTTAACCCCCTCCCCCTCAACCCCCAACCACCTCAAATGGCCCAAAATACCTAATCCAACCCAAAACTTAAAAAAAATTAAAAAAAAAAAAAATTAAAATCCGGCCCGGACCGGGCCCGAACCGGCCGGGCCGGTTCGCCTAAAGCAGGGCCCGAGACCGGACCGCCCATCACCCGGGCCGGGCCAAACCGAACCGCTGGACCCACCGGGCCCCGGGCCGGGCCGGGCCGGGCCAAACAGTAACCGGGCCGGGCCGGTTCCGGGTCGGGCCGCCCGGGCCGAGTCCACCCCTAGTTCGGGCCTTGAACCGGCCCGGGTAACCCCGGGTCCGGTTCGGGCCGGGCCCGGTTCCGGTTCTATATATATATATATATATATATATATATATATATATATATATATATATTTTGGGTTTTCCTAATCAACCCCCTACCCTCCCCCTCAACCCCAAACCACCTCAAATGGCCCAAAATAAGTAAATAACCAATCCAACCCAAAAACTTAAAAAAAATTCAAAAAAAAAAATAAAATTAAATCCGGCCCGGCCCGGGCCCGGTAGCCACCGGGCCGGGTCGACCCGAACCGCCCATGGGCCGGGCCGCCGGGCCGGGCCGGTTCAAACAGTGACCGGGCTGGGCCGGTTCCGGGTCGGGCCGCCCGGCCCGAGTCCATCCCTACTCATAGCAGGTGATGGGACAAAGTATAGACTATAGTTTAAAGGGGTTAACTTAATAAGATTTCACAAAGTATTATAATTTCCTCATCTAATTCCCGGAGCTCAGTTTCTACTATTGTTCCTTGTCAATTACTGCACATGAGTGCTAGTAAATAATTTGTGTGCTACTACAACATAAGTTGTTACAAACATCTAGTAAATGTTATTACCAATTTTATATTATTCTCCTAATAAAGATCTATATACACGGAAATATTTAATATACATATTGTAATTATGAAAGGTTTTTTTAGTTCTCCTTCAACATAATTTTGCAAAAGACCAAAAAGATTGAACTTGCAAAATGATTAAGGTGAACCCTACACAGACAAAAACATTAAACCTTGGCATGCAATTATGCTTGAGTTTTAGTTTGAGGATCAAACCTACATGACAATGAAATTTTGAGGGACAAATATGTTTTGAACCCATGAGTTTTGATCAAATTCTATTGAGGATGATGGAATTGAAAATAAAATTGTAAAGAGTTTAATGAGCAGAAAATGAAATCTAAGAACTCAGTGAGACAACAACATTAGGTCAGGGGTCGTGATAACCGTATTTTATATCTAACTATCTAAGACCTGTGTAACAAGCTAAGATAACCATGTTTTGTGCACTTGATTTTGATACAACTCACATTGTACGAACCATCTAAGTTATAAAGGTCTAAAAGAAGACACTTTCTATAACCATGTGTAAATTAGAAAGGAATGACTCGTAGCATTTCAGTACCTTATTTATTAACAAAATAGTAAATTCATATTTTCAGCAATAATAAAACTTATCGACTAATGCAAGGATACCACCAATGCTCTAACAATGTCACCAGGACAAAAAGATAAGTGCATATCTACTTTGTCGATCTCAGTTGCTCTGACATCTTGTTGCCTGTTTAATTCAAGAGAAAAGAAAAAGCTTAGAATCAATATTAGGGGAAAGAGGTAAGGTTTGACAGATGGTCAATGCCTTGCAGCACCATATGTCCATGAGGAAAAAGTCCATTTCTTTTCTACAGCAAATAGCCAATCAGTGATTTACAATTTAGAACAAGTGGTCAAAATGTGATGCTTAGGAACAATAAATTAGTCATTTCAAAATAAATAAATTTACATAGAGGTTTCATATTGTACACTTATAGTGTTTGAAATGCACATTTGGATGAGGATGAGCAACCATAAGTTTGGCTTGGTGCAGAAAAGGAAATTAGTGGAAAATATGAAACTAAAAAATGGGAGCATTTATATAAAGCAATAAATTTAAAAATTGAGTAATAAAAAATTAGTGAAGGAAGAGTTGTATCCACATAAATGTAATAAAAAATTAGGGAGCTTATGTACTGCAGCATATGAATTAGAACAAGGTATAGTGTTTCACAATGGTTATGAAAAACATCCATGTGTTACCTTATGGTTCCTGTGAATTTTTCCCGAGCAGCCTGGGAACCAACACACATAATATCCACTGAAGCCATCTTTGCCATCACCTTAGTAACCTGACGAAAGCAATCAATAATACAATAGATGAGATGTTAAACAACATCTATAGATAATAGAAACATCCTTGATGTTTACAGCAATTCACTTTATAAATACAAGTCTTTAACGAAATACCTAAGGTTGTATGATAATAACTTGTAACAAGAGCAAGCACATTTTTGAATACGCAAATATCAAAATGCAATCCAATGTTATCATGGTCTGCACGTGGTGAGAATGAGCTTGCCTATACATTTTCAGGATATGCTGAGATTCTGATATTATACCACGTGGTACAAATAACAGGGTGGTAGACTCAAGGACAGCAAACATAAACGAAGTTTAAAACCCAAATATTTCTATGTAATGAACTACTGTATGATCGATGGATCCTGCAAGTTGCAAAAAGACAACAACATTTATTTGAAATGAATAGTATAACTTTGTTAAGCTTTCATCCAGTGAAGCAGTTCATCAATTAAAGTAACAGCATGTCTCAAAAAATAGTGGAAAGATATAAAAAAAATTGAAATTGAGTTCATTGACATTGCAAAATTGTGAACAGAATGTATAAAGCTTAATTTCTTAATGGTATATTGCCATCACAGATGTTAAAAGATACTCTTGCTCAGTTACTCTACAGTACAGACTACTAGTGTGTGATTTCTGACTCATAAATTGAAGCGGAATTGTAACGCCTTTCATGTAGAATCAATCACTACATATACTTTAAGAAGCTAAATACAGAAACTTTACTCTGGCTATAACAACTGAGCCTGGCTGAGGAACAGGTCCATGTGCCTTGTGTCCAGTAACCTCCACGGTTGGTCTCTGATAAATATGAACAGCACCAAAAGACACCATAAACATCAATAAGCACATAAAGCATTAAGGCAATTTAAGATAAAAAAAACTGGAAAATGGATTTCATAAACCAGAGGAAGGAAACAAAATTAAAGTAATACACGGTCAGAAACGAGATTTTTAACCTGGTCGAGAGAATCAGAAGGAGGGGGTATGAAAGAGCGGAGTCCGGTGACAGACGAGCGAACAATCTTCTGCTTTGCTGAAAGGTAAGCCCCTCTACCAGCTTTGTACTCCAAAGCCGAACCCAAAACTTCTCCCGGCGTTACCAACACCGCTTCCATTTCAGTTTTGATGAAGCGGCGGGAAAAAACTAACTAACCGCGCAACGTTAGGGTTTTGCAGACTCGTACAGATGCGCGCTGGCTACCTGAAATTTTGACCGCAGGTTCCGGAAAGTGGGAATTAGAAGATTGAATTCTAGAATAAGATTTTCCCCACCAAATAACATTAATATGACAATATTTATGGGAGATTTTCCTAAATATGATTAAAGATGTTTTTTGGACTGAAATTTGTTGATATGATCTGGTCTGGTCAAAACTGGTCTTGTTGGTCTGGTAAATGTCTAGTCTCTGTATATTTTATAATTGTCTAAGTTTGATCTGGTCAGTTTAAGTCTGGTCTGGTTTAATCTGATCTGTTTAAGTCTGGTCTGGTGTGGAACTGAAAACAATCCAAAAAAAAAACATTCTAAATTAAAGCAAAATTGCAACAATAGAAGCTTCAAGTTAAAATTCCCAAAATAGGACTAACACTTCTATACTATCCTCTCTCTTACCATTCTTAATAGGATTTTTTAAATCATAATAATAAAACATAAAAAAAACGTAAAAAAAATAAACAAACAATACAGGTCTTAACCACCACCTCAACCATTTTCTAGCGCCGCCACCTTCGGTCTCCGGAAAAGAATTTCAAGTTGAAAAAAAACCGAATAGAGGACGTGATGACAGTGGCCTAATATATATATTTTTAAATATTTTTAAAGTATTTTATTTATTTTTTAGAGTTTTTAAAAAAAATTAATTCTTTTTATTTTTTATATTTTATTTTGTATTTTAACACTCAATATAAGGTTGTCATTATGAGAAGTCTTATGTCTAACATCATCTAGAACAAAGATCCAAATAAGAACATCATGGTGCAACTTGAACCAATGAGAACACCAAGGAGCACCCTTTCCATCCACTAATCTATGACCATGTCTTTTCAATCAATTACCCATTGAATAGCTCTCTGAACCTTATATTTAGTAGTAAATAGTGCTCCTTTAATTTGGCTCAAAAATATGATCTCTATATCATTTTTGCACTTGATGTTTGGTGCTGAGAAAAAAACATCTCCATTTGTTTACTAAAGAGAACGAATAGATTGTTCCAAGTCAATCTGATTAGCAGGTTAGGGGCTTGAGTAAGGCCTCTAAACACAATTCTGTTTTTAATATTATACGCACTAATAGTATTTCTATTGCTTGTTTGCTTGAGACGAACATCTCCCATCTATTTATGGACGAGGCCTCAACCTGCTAACTAGCTATGCAGAGGTATCCTTAGACCGTAGAAGTTTGACATGCCTATATTACCTTAGAAAGAAATGCTTTTTTCACTTATTTCATAATAGTTCAAAACAACAAGACATCTCAACAGGAAGAATAAAACAATGTCCTTGGAGTTTGGGCGTTATGGCTTGGAAATAGGAGTATCGTGTTCCAACTTCCAAGTATGGAAATATAACGGAATTTCTGTCATATGGGGGAAAAATTATTTTTTGTATTTAATTAATTTTGCATTGCAATGAAGCAAAACAATATTTCGTATCATCATATACAGTTATACACTTTGAGCACTTCTTAAACTACACACTTCAACTGCGAGCCGGCCACTCTACAGCACTACAGATATACATATTTCTTCATTATCTTAACAGCAATTAATAAATTTCAAGCCAAATGATCAGTAGTTAGTCCTGAATGGCCTGTAAACCTTAAGATCAGTCACAACTCCGGCAAACGACCCAACAGCCGCTGCAATGGATATAATTAAACATGCCACGCTAAGCATTTGCAGGCCAACCCACCTGCCGCTCCACTTGGGTATCTTTTTCTGAACAATGTACATTTCCACCGGGAAGTACACCGTCAACGGCCAGAACCCGAAAGCGCCTAGAATCCCCACGATGTCGTTGAAAAAGGGCAAAAGCATGGAGATGAGGGTGGTCAGAACCACGTAAACGCTGCGCCATATAAGCCTGAAGAGGTTGAGCTTGATACTTTGCCTTTTGCTGATGGCGATTCGGAAGTCTCTGTTTATGAAGTCAGTTTCGGGGAACCAGTCCTTCGCTGTCTTCTCAACAAAAGCGAAGAGCGGCTGGGAGTAGACTTGGTAAGCTCCTACGAGGTGGATGACGATGGCGGCATTGGCAATGTCTAGAAGCCAGAATGGGTTGTAGAACCCGAACCCCGTTAGGAGGTTTCCTGGTGAACTGTCTCCGAAGGCGGCGTACCCAAAACAACCACACATCATGTAGAACAATGTTGTCACAGTTACACTGAGGAAGGCAGCCTTCCTCATTGTCTTGGACTCCGTTGGTGGAGCTTTCACAGTGTCCTGTTTTTTTTTTAATAATTATCATTAATTATTATTTTTCACCTTGAAGTACAACTAAGAACTAAAAGCCTCCACAAAGTTTGGTCACTTAATACGTTTAACTTGTTTATCACTTTAGCTGCATACATGTAAGAATAAGATACACGCATATACCAGCTTTATAGTTTGAATAGCTTGCAAGAAAGTATGAAATTATTCAATATAGGACTACTAAAAGATAGACAATGTTTTAAAATAGGATGAAGTATGGTTTTCCCCAAATGAGACTTATTTAGTCTTATTAAAATAAAATTTGATTAGAACGTCCACAATAAGAATGAACAAGTCATATTTTAGGAATAAAACAACCTAGTCATATTTATGATTTTTTTCCTTGTTTCAGTCACACATAGGGAATTTTCTTGAAATTCTTTTACTTATTGGAATAATTTCTTTGACACTGTTTGATATTGTATAACATTGTCCGATACTGTAATGTTATTATTGCTTGAGAATCATAGAGTAAATTATTACTCCATCCGTTTTTAATTAGTTGTCCCCTTACATTTTTTGTGGGGTTTTAATAAGAAAGTAGTTGGGTGTAGACGTGTAGTAATGTACTCGTAGTATATAAAGAAGAACAAAGTAATGAAAAAGTATGAAAGAAAAAATAATTGTAAAAAGTAAAAAGTAAAAACTAATAAAAGAGGGTATAAATGTAATTTGATTGAAAAAACTTACTCGGTATTTAACTGGAAAAGATGGACAAATAATAAATAAGCTTCCCAAAAAGGAATACAAGAGAGATAATAAAAAACAAAAGGAGTAAGAAGTTTTTAAACAAACCCTCCTACAATATTAGGGACATCCCAATTAAGGAATATAAGTTCTATGAAAGAAAGAGAGTATAAATCAGCCACCTATCTATCCTCCCCTTAAAGTTCAAGAATATTTTAACTTCAAAAAAAATACTACATGTCCCAATTTGATGATACCATTACAATTTACGATGTTTGACCAACGATAAATCAAACGGATCCCTTTTTGCACTTAAATTATTTTTAGGGGAAAAATTAAATATTCAAAAATTACATTAAAAGATTTACAAAGTCAAAAAAACTAGAATCAAATTTGATAAAAATTGATATATAAAGTAAGAGATTGAAAATGATTGTGTTGACCAAGTGAATAAGAACCGGTACCATCAAATTGGGACGGAGGTAATATTATTTATATTTTATATATATATACGAATATCTAATTGGTGTTTCCGTAATATAATTTACAAAGGTCGTATAAAATATTTTCAAGGGTGAATATTAAAAAACGTTTGGGGTCCAACACGAATATTACAAATACTCCAAAGAGGCAAAGATCATTTCTGATCAATAAAATTCTGTTATACCTGTATTTCGACGAGGATGAGAGAATAAGAATAGGCAAAAGCTACGGCCCCAAGTGCTTGGAAGCTCAACCATATCTTGTCTATTTCAGAAACAGTTCCAATACTGATTCCAGTAAGGCTTCCCAGGATTTTCCCATTTTCTGAAAATGTAAAGAAGATCCACAAAATAAAGAAAAGTGGATTTGTATTAACAAATTCTGGTGATGAAGGACTCTAAAATTGCTACAAGTGCACCCCTATCGTATTCAAAGTGTGAGGAGGTTTTGGGTTGGACTAAAAAAGATAATTTTTTTTGGAGTAAAATTTATTGATAAATTTGGTCAGTTGGTTTAACTCTGGTCAACAAATCCAAGTAAAAAGTGAAAATATCTGGAGGTGGTGCAGGATAAAGACTATTGTGTGTATCACTTTTACTTTTCTTCTCCTAAACAATTCTATACTCCCTCCGTCCCCGAAAGAAGTTCATCATTTGACTTTCACACACTGTTATAGAAGTAAACTTACCAGGGTAACTGTTTTGACACTGTTTCGACACTGTTTTGCACTGTTTTGATGTAGATAATTTTCCATTTAAGGAAATGGGAACTTAAATAAGGGACATCCAAATAAGGAAAGTGAGAACTTCTTTCGGGGACGGGGGAGTACATTTTAAAACGAATCACTAGTATGCACAGGTGAAATGAGAGTGCACAAAAACTTTTACATAAGAATTTTTCCCTCCTATTTTCCTTCAGGTGGCTCTCTCATGACCTCATCAAAAAGTGCAGAAAAATAGAAAGTTTGATAGAAATCTTATCCAAAAAGTGCAGCAAAATAGAAAGTTTGATAGAAATGGTATGAAACCTGCTACTTTTGCAATTCCAAGTCCAAGTCCAATAGTGGAGTAGGTAAATGACATGACAGCAGCAACAATGGAAAGCCACCATATTTGATCAAAGTCTGGGATTTGGGAGAAGAAGAATTGCACCACTCCAAATATGATCATGTAAGGGTTGCTGTTTATATGGCATGGGTTCTTCCCTCCACTGGCATGGAAGCAATTGGACCTCTTGATTGCCCTGATTCAATTCCATCGTACTGATTGATTAGTTTTATTTCAGCTTAAACCACTTAAAAATGGGATTTCTAATTCAGGTCACTCACATCATGCTTATAGCAGAGGCAATGGTATACCCAACTGCCACTCCAAAGAGATTTGCGTATTGAATTGCACCACAAATTTTCACATGCAGCCCACCTGAAAGGCCAAAAATCCAAATTAAATCATTGTCATATTTCTTTTATAATCATTATATTTTATATAAATATTAATCATACACAAGTCTCTAATAATATAAGGAAAAATAACTGTAAATAATATCAACTATCAACCATAAA